CGTGCCAAGCCCAGCGCACGAGGTCTCGTGCCAGAGCCTCGTGCCAGGTCCAGGGCTGATCCAAGCCGGGTCAGCTGAGCCAGTCGGTCTCGGTGCATGTCCCAGCAGCATGCCCGAGTGCCCAGTGTCCTCGGGACGGCCCGGCAGCGCCCTAGGGGCCTCTGTCCGCGCCTTCCCCGTGCCAGCCGCGTCTGGCCAGTGCCTGTCCGTGCCCAGCCGCACGACAGCGCCTCAGTCGAGCCTCGGCCGTGCCCAGCACGCACCCGAGGGGCACCAGTCGTGCCCGGGCCGTGCCAGCAGCCCCTGGCCGTGCCCACCAGCGCCAGTCCGCGCCAAGACATGTCCAGCGGCCCCAGGGACCGAGCCCGGTCGCACCAGCCGTGCCCAGCGCCGTGCCCGGGCACCAGCTGGCCCGGCACGGGACCGAGCCCGGTCTAGCCGAACCCAGCCCGACCGCCCGGCCCAGTCGAGCCGGCGGTCCGGCCAGCCAGCGAACCGGCCGGTTCGACCGGCGATTCGAGTCAATTTTGATTCGTGATTTCTGATCCGAGTCCAGTTCCAGAAATTTCAGTATTTTTCCGAGCCAGTCCAGTCCAGTTTAATCGCGTAGATAAGTCCGAGCATTTTAGCATATAATTAAATATTTTGAGCATTATACGTAGCATTATTTTGCTTAAATATTTATGTAGCCTAAGGAGAGTCGAGCCTCCGACCGCTACTCCAGCATCCGCACTTGCATATCAGATTCCAAGTTTTTCAGGTGGGGGTTATGTACTGGATGTCACATCATAGATAATATCTGTACCATGGCAGAGGTATGTTTGAGACAGTTTAGTTCCGGGTTGGGTGGCCGAGGCCTTTATACCCACCTGATGACCGTTGGGAGGGGCGAGGCCCTTTATACCCCATCGGAGTGTGCACACGAGCGGCCAAGGCCGAGGGTCCTTTGACCACAGATCAGAACAGAAATCAGAGATCAATTTACAGTTTCAGCTCTTATATATTTATGTTTCATGATACGTTATTAGAGATGATGTTTTGTTCAGTATTGGTCTTTGCGGAGCATAGTGGTTTGCTCACGCCCTCATTGTGTTTTTCAGTAGACGGAGTCGAGCGTGCCGGATGAGCACAGATGTGGCGCAGCGTGGTCATGAGATTTGGACATATTTTCTCAGCATTTTTATGTCCTAGTTTTATGATCATGTATATTATTCAGTTATGTATGCATGTTTATGTATTCGTACTTCGGATGCTTCCGCCAGCGAGTTTTTCTTAGACAGTGCGAGATAGTACAGACTATGCATGTATAATTCCATATTCCGCGAGCGGACAGTTTGGTTGCATGTTTTATTATGTCTGTGAGCAAGCTCAAGTTTAGTTTAAGTTTTTATCTGCCACATCCCGCAATAAGTCAGTATTTTCGAAAACCCAGCTCGCACGTTCTTTAGAAAATAAAAACCAAAAAAAAAAAAATTACTCTGATTTTCAAAGCTAGTAAGGCGAGGTGCGACAAAGATAGTCAAGCTATTCTGAACATTCACACAATCAAACCTGATAGGCCTGACAGACTCTATTGGGGTCTTGAACCTAAGGGGGTATTCATTGTCTCTAGCACCTACTCCTTTATGGCTCACATGAAAGTGCTGAGATTGGATCAGCCCCAAACCAGCTCCACTTCAAACTCCATGAAGGAAGGCCTGTCCAGATGTTGGCACTTGAAGATTCCTGGCAAACTCAAGCATTTCATCTGGAAATGCCTCTTTGGGACTCTGCCTACTTCAGTGAACCTATACAGGAGAGGAATTGAGGTGTCCACTTGTTCTTATTGTAGGAAAGCTCCTGAATCCATTGAACACCTTCTGTTTCACTGCTCGAGGGCCCAAAATATCTGGAAATTATCTCAAATTAGCTGGGATGGGATATCACATTCAGAAGACTCCTTCAAACACTGGTGGCAGCAGGTTTGCATCTTGGACAACTCAGACATATCAGAGGCTAGGATTCAATTAACAACATACATACTCTGGTGGCTCTGGAGATCCAGGAACCTTTGGCTGTTCCAAACCACTAGTATGCTAGCCCACATTGTCTGCAAGGTGGCTCATAAGAAATGGCTGGAGTTCTCTTCCATCTCATAGACAGTGGTGTTGGCTTCCTCTGATGACTGGTTGTTTAGTGTTCTTTTTATTTTCAATAGCTGATGTTTTCTGTAGTTTTTTTCCTTTGTTTTTGTTGTTATAGCTTGCAGTTTGGGTTTTTGAAATGGAGGTTGATGCTAGGCAGTTTGACAGTGGCTAGGCCCCCATTTCTTTGGTTTTTATTGTCTTTGAGTTCTTGTTGGTTTAAAGCTCTAGGCCACTTTGTTAGTGTGCCTCTCAGTTTTATGTTTCGGTCTATTCGGGGGGTTCCCCACTTTGTACGAACTTTATTTTTCTTGAGATATATAGATCCCTCTATCGTTCTGGTAAAAANGGATATGGTTATTCACACTTATTTCGCAGGCCATTAATTTTTTATTTTTAAAAAAAAAAATTAGCCCCATACAAATACAATTTATCAATAACTCGTCCCTTTTCTTTATTTAACATGGCCCAAATTTATGAAGGGCATGCAATTAAAAACAGCCCGGTATGGAATTAAAAACGGCTTGGCCTGTATTTTACCATTATTAGTACGTACCCCGTGCGATGCACGGGACATATATATTAAATTAGTTATTTTCATAGCCTTGTCCGTTTAAGTCTAAAAAAAAATAGGGTTATTAGCTATTTTCTACCTCTTTTAATCAACGTTAAGTCTAAAAAACAATAGGATTATTATAAGTTTTTTCCACATCTTTTAACCAGCGTTGTTAGTTCTGCCATAACATTAAATATGAGCATGTTAGGGCTAGCTTGTAAAATAATTAATGTATTATCTCACTAAGACATTTATACTGATAAAAATTTAACTTTAGCATATAAATTTATCCTTGATATAAGAGAAAGTAACAATTTTACTTATTGTTGTTCACCATATAATATTTAATTATTCTTTTATTATATAATAAAAGAAATACTGTTAAATAGTGTAGTAGAATTGTTATAAAATTATATGAAATATTATTTTTTAAAATATGGATTTAATATCTTTTTATGATTTGATAATATAAACAAATTTATACTTACCTTTGACTTTTCCAGCAAAAGTAAAAAAATCGGTTCTGATTTTTATCTCATAACAAATCTTTAATGTCAAGCCTATAAATAACAAAATAAATCAATAATTAATATCATTCTATTTCCAGCAAGCATTAATTACTTTTGACTTTTTTGCCTACTATTTTTAATAAATAAAATACTTTTTTATATAAGTATAGATTTTTTTATTAAAAGGCCCATTTTTTACGATGGGCCCAAACACAGAAAAATGCCCGTTAGTCTATGGAAGCTTCAAGAAGACGTGTCTGGTAGTTAAGTTGGAAAACTCTACGCTAGCGTCACTTACGCCGCTACCAAAGTTTTTTCAACACATTTTTCTACTCCGATATGAGATTCAAACTCCGATCATTTTTTTTTTCGCAGCTGTAAATATACTTTTCTTTAACACACGACGTCGACGATATTATGATCTACACAAAGCCAAAAAAGCCCTGAAATATTTTAGGGGCTTGAACTTTGAAACAGGCGTTAGATCCAGTCGATTTCCGAAACGATTTGATGTTACCACTTTTAAATTATAGAAAGTCGGTGAAATTGGTCGATACATCTCAAAGGATTCTCGTTTAATTGTCTAATTTTCGTTTCATTTTCTAATTTTTTGAGATTTTTTTCTTATTTTCGTTTTACCGCTTTCTAACTTATAGGAAGTCGGTACACAAACGGCCGATCTATATAAGTATATGTGTTTTTTTATTTGTTTTCCGATTTTTTTGTGATCTATATCAAAATTAGAAACTAATCTATTATTAATAGTAGATTTCAATTTATAATTTCTTGTTTTCAAATTATTAGGTTGTGTTTTCAAAAAAATACACATGAATATTAAAAGATCTAAATGTTTTTGATATTTCCAGTTTTGATTTCTATTTTTTCAATTCGTTCTTGGAGGCTACTGTTTTAACTTTTAAAAAAAAATATAAAACCTAACTCGAATAATGAAGCATTTTCGAAGATTTGAAGAAAAAAAAAGTTTAAAAATAGATTTATTTTAAAAAAAAACCAAAGTCTTTTAGAATTTCATAATTAGCTTATAAAAAAATCAAAAGAACTATGTTTGGCTTCATAATATATGCACACCAAAAACTTTGAATCCGATATATCTATTGAAAAAATAGTTGCTTTTGTTTGTATATTCTTAACAAATTGAATCAAAATGTATTATTTATAAGGACTAATTATTTGTATGGGTTGTATTTATTCAATTTTCTTGGCATGATTGAATATTTATTCATTCATGAGGCAAAATAAAAAAGAAAAAGAAAATAATTAATTATTATTTTACTGTCTAAATATTTTATATAATCAAGTTTCTGCTTAATAAAAGTTTAATTTTTAATTAGAAAAATATTTCATATTTGGATGGAATTGTAATTGTCTGATAATATTAAAAATTAGCAGAATCCATGCAATAACGTGTGTGTTTATTAAAAAATTATATATATATATATACATATATATATATATATATATGTCCTGTAATATTTTTGGGCAAAAATGTGAAAAATGTTTTATTAAATGTTTTATTAAACGAATTAACTAGTAATTATATATATATATATATATATATATATAGATTAAGGTCATTATATCTAAGTTGCAGCTGTCATACGGCACTCTCAAGACACGAAACCATTTGATTGAAAAGTTTTAGCAAAAAATTATTCACTATATCAACAATCTCATTTCTCTTTCTCTTCATTCTTCCTCTGAACTAATAAAATCACACCGATGTAAACCTTCTCTCTCTCTCTCTTCATTCTTCCTCTGAACTAATAAAATCACACCGATGTAAACTTAGACATCGAACACCCACAGTCGTCACCATGGGCTAGAGCTATCGAAAGCGCCACGAAGCGGACACCAAGTCATTCGACGGTTGATTCAGCGTTCGGCTTCCTTTCGTCACCTTCCCCAGTGGTTGGACCTGTTCTTTTCTTCAATGGGATAGAGCTATCGAAAGCACCACGAAGCGGACACCAAGTCATTCGACGGTTGATTCAGCGTTCGGCTTCCTTTCGTCACCTTCCCCAGTGGTTGGACCTGTTCTTTTCTTCAATGCGGGATAGAGCTATCGAAAGCGCCACGAAGCGGACACCAAGTCATTCGACGGTTGATTCAGCGTTCGGCTTCCTTTCGTCACCTTCCCTAGTGGTTGGACCTGTTCTTTTCTTCAATGCGCCGTCGTCGATTGTTCTGGTGGATAAAAGTGGCTGAGAAAGTCAAATAGTTTTATCCACCAGAACAATCGACGACGGCGCATTGAAGAAAAGAACGGGTCCAACCACTGGGGAAGGTGACGAAAGGAAGCCGNGCACTACATACAATTAAAAATAGCGGTTATCACGCTAGGACTTAGTTCTCATTTGAACCAAATTATATATATATATATATATATATATATATATATATCTTTTTAATAAACACACGTTCTTGCATGGATTCTACTGATTTTTAATATGATCAGACAGTTACAATTACATCCAAATATGAAATATTTTTCCAATTAAACTTTTATTAGGCAGAAACTTGATTATATAAAATATTTAGACAGTAAAATAATAATTAGTTATTTTCTTATTCTTTTTTATTTTGCTCCATGAATGAATAAATATTCAATCATGCCAAGAAAATTGAATAAATACAACACATACAAATAATTAGGGTTTGATTGTTTATGGAATAATTTACTCAACTTTGTTTCATACTCAAAATCTAACTCAACCCCACTATCTTTAATATAAAGAGCCATCCTATTTACTAAAATTAGTAGCAAGAAAAGTCAAAAGACAATTAATGCATTCTATTTCCATCAATTTTTTCTATTGTATTATTATTTTATTGCTAAAAAACCGGTTTGCATTAATTTATCCTTAATTGATGTGTTTTGCAATAAAATCGGACATATAGACTTCAAGTAAAAACGTGTCTCATTGCAAATTTAAATATTAAATCTTATCATTTTGTTACATTAAAATCCTGAATGAATTGTTTGTCACAATATCGGACAAAATAATAATTGCATAGAATTCAAGTAAAAACATGTCTCATTTAAAATTTCTTATCATTTTGTTACATTTCTGAATAATTTGTTTCCCATAACATCGGACGGAATTAATAATTGCATAGAATTCAATTATGATTTCAAATTTATATCAAGGATGTTTAATAATTGCATAGAATTTCAAAGATGTTTATTTATTATAAAAAATTAAATTCTAAAAAAATATTTGTGTATATTTTGTAAAATTTTGTACAAAATGTTTTAGTTTAAATTTATTTACATTATTTAAATTAATTACATTAATAAATAATATGAACATACATTAAATATTTTAGTTACATAAAACAAAAAGAAGAAGAAGACTACGTCTATAACTTGTATAAATAATAATAATGACATTATATTACAATAAATTTTATAATAAAATAATATTAGTATTATATTTGCGAGGAACAAGATTACGTAAAATTGTTATTTTTTCTTATATCAAGGAATAAATATGTATAATGAAATCAAATTTATATTATTATAAACATGTGAGCATTATATATTCTTCTTAACAAGAATTTCTTCCCCCAAATTCCTGTAACCCTAGCGCCCCTCTCAACTGTGTTCGCTCGCCTTCCACGGCGGCGGTGCGGCGCCGGCCCGTGGTCGCGCTCGACTGCCGCCTCGTCCTCTGCTATCCCGGACCTTTGGAGTGGCTACGGAGTGCTTGTGCCAATTGGTAAGCCTCGCTCTTTTTTCGCCGGCGAAGTTGCGATTGGAGGTGGCGAGCTCTTCGGTCGTCGATTGGTTCGCAATTGATGGCGTCAGTTGCCTGCTGGTTGCGATTGGAGGTGAGTACTCCTTCGTTTCCTTCTTCTGGGCGCTTCCGTTTTCCGACAGGTCTCCGTTCGGGGTTTTCCTATATTGGTGCATGTGGTCTGTGGTGTAACACCCCACTTTGACTAGCTTTGACTTTTAAAAATCAGAGTAAATTTTTTCCTTTTTTCGAAATATTGGCGAGATTATTTTCGAAAATGCTTTCTTAATTGCAGGATGCTACAAAAACATTTCTTAACTTAATATCTCGGACATAAATAAAACATGCATCCAATCGAACCACTGCGGCGATAGGAAATATACATGTAGTCCGCTTGATCGCACTAACTCAACGGAAGCTTACAAATAAAATATACATATCACACTCATACATATAAATACATGCTTATAAATTTTTGGGGTATGTTTGCGTATAAATATGTCCACTGCTCATGACCACGCTTGCCACATCTGCTCACCCGGCACGCTGGACTCCGTCACCTGAAATAAGAAAGACTGTGGGAGTGTGAGCACATTTGTATGCTCGTGGGAATTTAACTGAAATAATCTTAATAGTTGTAAACATAAACTTAATAGTTGTAACCATAAACTTAATAACTGTAAACATAAACTTAATAGCAGCATATAAATAAATAAGATGTACTGTAAACTTTTCTTAAACTTTAACTTTGGTCAAAAGACCCTTATTCGGCCCTTACTTCGGCCACTCGTGTGAACACCATCCAGACACTGAGGGCGAAGCCCCACCCGGATACCAGGTGGATCAGGAAGGCCCTTAGGTCGGCCTCTCACTTGGGATAACTTAACTTAATCCCTTGAATATACCTCAGTAATGGTAAAATAATTATAGACGGTGTAAAACCCAGTACATGACCCTTACTCTGGCTAACACTGAATTAGACAACATCTATAATAACATATCGAGAACTTCAATATATAAGAGTTGTAATCTTTCTTTTCTTTTCTTTTCTTTTCTTTTCTTGTGGTCAAAGACCCTCGATGTAATGCCCCTTTTTATTTTAAAGAATTTACCGAATTTATTTAATAAAAAATAGAGTTTTTTTTTTTTAAACAGAATTAAAACATTTAATGAAAAACGGGCGCTACTCACTAACAACAGCAAACAAACATATCCAACAATTCAAAGAACCTACACATGCTCGAGCTATCAAAATAAACAATCCCATAAACATACGTCTCAAAATCATTTCAAAGGTCTAGCATGATCAAGTTCAACAGACTTAAACTTAGTTCGAAAGAGAAGAAATAAATAACCCAAATCGACGGAAGCATTAACAATCCAAAACAAAAGCAAGTAGTTTTACATAAATAAGATCAAGCGGAAGCAAAAGACACATCCAGTAATTGACCACCATCTCGCTCGTCTTTACGCCACCGTCTCCAGCTCGTCTCAACCTAAAGCAAAGGAAGAGAAGACACAACAAAGAAAAAAAAAATAATGGGAGTGAGCGTAACCAACAAGCTCACCATTATCGCACAGTTTATCTCGCATAACATTTTAAACCATCATAACCATAGTATTCAGTATGCACAGAATCCAACAGTCTAACTCCCTACTTGGCCCTATCGCAAACCTCCTATGTACATACACCAACCTTCCGATCACACACGGCAAGGAAGTAACTGGAAACCTTCCCATCACCGAATGGCTACGGGCTTGGGATCCTTTCCAGGAGACAGTAGAGCTGTTTTTTCCATTCACGAATATCATACGGACCTGGGCGTCACCTCTCCGAATCTACGGGCTGATGACCTCTCACTGTTTATGCATTCCTCAAAGGCACTAACATACGGGACACTTAGACTAGGGTTCTCACGCATACATCATTTTTCAAACGAAACTTTATACGAAATAATAAGTGCGATAATTATGGATACACACAAATGTACCCACCTGGTTGCAGCAACAGATCAAATCACGAATCTCGAAGGTAAGACGAGGTCAACACCTCTAGACACCTACATTAAGTCCAGGTACTAAAGTCAACACCTTTAATCTAGACCTAAGTAGAAAATCCACAAATTGACTTAGCCGAACTTGGTTCGACCAAGTGGTTCGTGAAGTTCTGTGGATATGGGAACACTAGGACTTAGACTCGATCGAACCACATATTCAAGTTCACATAATCGCAAGTGAAAGACAAACAACGAGTCACATGTAGACATATAGCAAATTCGGTCAACAACACTTGACCGAAAATCACCATATCAAACAATTTCCAAAATTACACTTGAATTAGAAGGTATATCAAACCTACGAGTTAGTATCTGAAAATTTTACATAAAATTCCCCTCCCAGAATTTAGTTAAAATACCAACAAGTTTTTCAACAAAAACGAGCTTAAATTAGAAACACAACGATAATGAACAATTCAGGCCATGAAAGTTTTATCTAAAATACTTCAGTATATGACCAGCAACACATAAAAATATCAGCCTTAAACACTCAACATGTGAATTTATAAAATTAAAACAATATTCAGCCAATTATCAAATTTCTATCAGAACTGATTCTAAACGAACTCCAAAAACTCTAAACATTTTACAGCATGCTAAAAATCACATAATCAGCACCTCCGCAAATATTTAGAATTTTTCAGTTTCAAATCAATTTAGCACAATTAAAACAAATTCGGGCAGAAACACCAATTAAACTATTAACCCTACCAAACCTAGCCCAAAACTTTTAAAACTTCTATACAACACATAAATATACCAGATACATATCATATTCAAAAATCAGCCAAATTGGAGCACCAAAAAATTATTTATGCATTTTACGAGAAACTACACATAAATCAAATTAATTTTTAAAAATAGATCCAGACCTTCACAAATCCCGAAAGTTTTACACAAGCTATACATTCATCAAAAACAACTACACCTAAAATTTCGAGACAATCCAACCAGTATTTAATTTATGATGAATTTTTCATTCCAAACAGCAAATATAACTTTCGAAAAATCATAACTACCAATTTACAAGTTCAATCAACACAAGGTCAGCGCCATTGTGTTCGTAAAAACCCTAAGTCGCTAAANACACTTTTAACGAGCTCTCGTTCGATTCGCACGAATCGACGAAATTCACATATCAACATGACGATTATTATAACGAACAACATAAACACATAAATTATATATCCGCATGAACACATAATGCACGAACAAACAAAACGATAATTACGTAAGATAAACGAGAAGTCGAGACTCGATACCGTTCTCGGGAAACGAGCGAGAAAGGTTCGAACGGTTCGACGGGACGTTGGGCTCGACGGTTTCACGCATCTCGCCGAAAAGAGGAGCAGCGACTGATCTCGGCTGCTTGGGTCGCTGCGGCAGTTCACGGCTGAGGAGTTGACGA